TGACTATCGCGCATATCAAAAGCAGGGTGCCAAACTCACACAGGAGCTGATGTGGACACAATGAGTCGCCTCGCGTAACATTTTGTCATGAAAGTGGCACTTAAAAGATAATCGTGAATCGACCTGAGACGTTTTCAGAGAATATTTTAGATTTTAAAGGACATTTCCCTTTTTTACAGATGATACTTCTTGAAAGCGGTTAAAAATTCATATCGCTGACAGTTTTCTTGCGATTTTTTAGAGTAGGATGATGCTGACAATAATTTCCTGTATAAGTTTATTTTTGCTGAAAACTGGTTGAAAACTTCCTCTTGATGAAAAGTATCAGAAAAGTATTGAAACAAGTGATTTGTGTTGAAATCACCTTAGATGTTATCCTGCATTGACTAGATTTATTTCCAATATGAGTGGAATATAAAACAACGTGCAACAATTGAATTTCTTTCCTTCAGCAGTTAAATGTTTTTTTTCCCGATAGGAATTTGGTTAAAGTAATCACGCTGCTCTGGCAGATCTGTTGCTCCTAATGTGGAACATGTGACACATACAGTCACAATAAAAATACTTTCCAATATAAAAATTCTTGTCATTTAAAATCAAATACATTGTAACCACAGTGAATGAGCCTGAGGGAATCATAAAGCGGCCACACTTATTAGTAACTTCCCGTCACTACTTCCTGTCAATCACGGCCCGGCACCCTGAGGGCCCTCGCCTTGTTAGTGGGAGCGTAAAAAGGAGGGCTGGGGCTGCTCTCTGCAGGCAGGGTCGTAGGGAGCACGGGGAATGACGGGCGTCTCCACAGGTCCTCCGATCCCCCTCCGCAGACCGCTGAGTCTCTGGAGCTCCGTCTATTCAAGTGCATTCTGTAAGGTACGACTGACTAAGGTCCAGCGAGTGGACGCGAACGGACACGACATGAATGAGATTTGCTTATCTGTGCTGGGGCGCGCTTTCATTTCATGCAGCGAGGAGGCTTAATGCTCCTGCACTTTGTAATAAAATGGAAGGTAAACCTCAGATAAGAAGCCTCTCATCCTCGGTTTATTGATACTCTCCGAACACTCTCTGAAGGAAATTACTTTCGGTCCGCTCTCTTTGATGCCTTTCTGAGATTGACACTTCCTCAGGGTGGGTACATTCTGACCCCACCCCGGGACTCCGCGGCCTGGACACTGTCCCCCTGCCGTAGAGCCTCTGGCCACTCGTGAGGAAGTGTCTCTCACCCCCCCCGCGACTGCATTGCCCCCCCCGGTTCTAATCCCCTGCCCCACCTCGGATAACATATGCACACTCTCCACAGCCACCTCACCCGTCCCCTCCTTCCCCCAGTGTGTCTCCCTGCACCGCTAGAAGCCGGCTACGGGCCACTGAGTATGGGCGGAACAATGGTGGCCTTTCAGCCGCTCGGTGCCAACGGTGGGAGAGGGCCACGGTCCCGGCACCCAGTCAATATTTGGACGTGGTTTGCCTTTTTTTTTTTTTTTAAATCCAAGCGGAACCGAGCGGCAGGGAGCCCGGGACCAGGCCGAGAGGGGAAAGCGAGGGTAAACAGTGGGAACAATGCGAACGGGGCCACTGGGAAACTATCACAACATGGCCTCGCCGCCGAGGGGAAAAGTGAAGTATTGTTTCGCTAAATGGGAGATTAAAAAGAGAGAAGAGGGGTCGCTCTGCTGTGACGGGGGGAAGTGGGCACGGAGTCAGTCAACTCGAGGACCTCGCTCCCCTTTCCTGAGGTAGAGCTTCTACCAGAAGCATTCAACTGTGTCCGGACACAAAGTGGACAGACAGTTAGCGGCCGGCTATCAAAGGCCTTTTAAAGTCTGTAACCCCACTTATATCGCGTATACAAAGCGGCCTCCGAAGCAATTCTTTGATAATGGAGAAATATGTTGCATCTGCCGGGGGAAGCTTTGGGAGGGCATTATCAAGGATTAAAGGAAACCCCTGGGGTGACAGTGCTCTCTCTGAATGCTGGAATCCCTCTCTCCCTCCAGCTGTCGGGCCCTTAGTCCATCCCAATGAGCTTCTTTGATGACGAGGGGTATCGGTTTCCATGGCGTCCGAGACACAAACAGTTTGAGAGATTAGGGACGGAACCCGGCTCTGATTCTCCGTTGATCCCACCTCTCAGCAGCAAATAAACACCTTGGGGCTCGGCAGCGGCTGCGTGCGGACCATATGGGGGCCGGGTGGGTTTTAATGAAGCAGCTAAATTGCCGGCGAGCGGGGAATTCGCTAAAAGCTCCTTGTCAGAGGAGCAGTAAATACCCCCGCTCATACACTTCACGCCGCCATTTGCCGGGCGGCAAAACTGACAAGGAACATCTGTGACTCGTTTCTCTTACACGACCTCTTTCACGTCTTTTTTTTGGGTTGATTTCTGACTGGTTGTAATAACTAATATTTAATAACTAATATATTAATACAACATAGTTCGGACGTCAAAGTCAGCAGATTGAATTCAAGTTTTTATTTCTTTTGCACCATGCAGTCTATTTTGAGAGGATACTTCCAGATGTATAAACATGAATAAATGTTGTGCACGTAAGCGGAGCCCTGGACTGAACTTTAGGGCAATAAACTTTGCAGATATCGCTGCGGCCGCCACGCATTGCTCTTCATTATTGTGACATTATCTGAAATCCTTCTTGGTCTACGACTACAAAGGAGCCTCAACGGTGTTCTGCCAAGTATACTCTCTAAACATCGTCCTCGGGAATACATCCAAATTAGGAGCATGGCCAGACTTTCCACACCTACGTGCACACTTTGACTAAAGGGCTGACTCGGAATAAAGCAAACAATGCAAAGGCTTTTCCCGACGTCTCCGCACACTGAGGGGCTTACGGAGAAATGGCACAATTATCCGAAGCCTTTTTTGGTCAATAAATCAATCAATCAGTCGTGACTGCGTGCTTTAATTCCAAGAAAGCTCCCAGATCCCGGAGTTTCATTTCATTTCATTAAGTGGCTTATAGAAGCGCAGCTACTCGCTGTCAGTGGAAGATTTTCAAATTCCGGGCGAAGCTAAACCGGCTGTGAATCTCACCCCTGCTCTTCCTCCTCTTCCTCTCCTGCTCGTCTGAGCCTAATCAGCAACAAGCATCAGCGCAGGAAGATGTCCCCCCCCCCCCCGAGATGGAAGCAGAGCAAACATGAAAGCATGTCTATCTAAATCACGCAAAGAGAAAGGTTTCTTTTTAGCCCCTTTCAAACAATAGAAAAACATGAAATGTCATCGCATTTCCATTTTTCACGACTCACTTCCCATTTCAATTCCAGAGCTCCTGTAGGGGATTTCATGAATGGCTGAGTATGGACCGCTGCTCCGGATGCCATTCCGCCCCACTTTGGTCAAATATGCAGCGGAGATGTCAGGAGAGGGGGGTAAGAAAGCTCATCTGGAAGCTGGGGCGGTACCGCAGCGGGTTCCCGGGGCTCCAATACCGAGTGTGGTTACATTAAGCAGCGGGGATCCGGGGGCTGGCGAGCTCGTACGGAACGCTGTTGGGTTCTGCTGCAGGTTAAGGGGGGGGGGGCCCGGGCTTTAACCGCAGCCCTCCCTCCCATTATGCAGCCGGGGTCGGGTTTAGATTAAATCCATGAATGAGAAAAGGAGACAGTCATTTAGAGTTACTCATTTATTTAGCCCTCCATTCTGCAGAGACAAAGCCCATGCGGGGCGCCGCGCCGGGCCCATCACCGGGCCCCATGGCCGGCGGTGCTGCCCCGGTTTTGACCCTGACAACAGTCCCCTCTGTGCTGCTTAACCCACAACTTGCCCGGTTACTACCAAGTGTGTGACCTCAGCATGCGGGGATCTCTCACAAGGCCGAGAGCCACGCTGTGCCTTGGCCGCTGCTGAAATGCCCCTGTGTACCCCCTCATTGTCTACCCCAGCGTGGGCCGGCAGGGGGAGGAAAAGATTGGGGGAGGGGAGGGGGGTCTTGGATGTAGGAGCCCAGCAACCAAGACACCAGACTTGGGAACCAGGAAATGTTTTGGATTTGCATCATTAACAATCGCGTCAGTTAACTCCTCAACAGGCCGGTTCCTTGTTCTCTTCTCTGATGTACATTTGCATTCTTTTTGCTTTTTTTTAAACTTTTTGTTTGACTCATGCCGAAACTGCAGCCAGCAACGAAAGTATTCCAACTGAAACAAAGTGACACACACATTATATCACCATGTGCTCGAGTGCCAACGCCAAGGCACTGAGTCACCCGGGGAGGTGTCCCGACACACTCTGGAGAGAAATGTCACTTTGGTATTCCAACTGAACGAGCTGCACTCATATGGACTAAGTTGTTTTTGGAGGGGGGGCTTGATTATAAAAACCGTCACAGGACAAGCTGCTCGTTTTTGAGTCACCCAAAATCCACAAATCCACTCATTGAGCCTTTTTGATGAGCTGAGCAGCGCCTCACTGTGATAGTAATAAACACACTCACAATTATATCAAGTAGGACCCATTGCAGCAGACTGGAGAGTCATTTGAACACAGGCGGCGCGGGTCTCCTCGTACGTGGGAACGTGGAGCGAACCACCGAACATGAACGCGTAAAGGCGCGTAACAGCGGACAGCCCGCGTGCGAAGGCTCTTGTCCCTCCGAGAAGTATATGTTTCATGCCGCACAAAACTCGTTCAGATTATGTAGGATTATTAAATCATGAATTATCAGATCAGATCTCCTCGGTGGAGGCAGCGCGTGAGTGCGGACACATCGTAACGGTGTTCATGCAAAGCAGCAAAATAAGGAAAATATGCATCGTTACAAATCGATGTAATTGCAGGTTTGGATATTTAACTGGTAAGTATATAGAATGACGTTTTGTTAAACTGCTGGGGATGCGGAGTGCGCGCGCCGTGCGTCACCCGACGATTAAAACTACCGTAAAACCGACCAGAGTACAGCTTGAACAGGGTGACGTTTGAGGGGGAAGTTGGCCACCTCTGTGCGCCGGTGCGCAAGGGTGAGAAGGGTTCTACTTACTTGGGGTTGGTCCGGTTCCAGTAGACGGCGTAGCGGTCGGACACCACCTTGGACGCCGGGTCCTGGCAGTAAACACACACCACTACGACGAGGAAGAGGAAGAGGATCATTTCCACTTGCGGCATCTTGGCTCTGGAACTCCGACGGTGCCAAATTGACTCCGGTCCCGGTGCCGATGTGACGGATGTGGCGGGGAGATGTTGCGCGGAGAGTCCGCTTTACAGGTGCAGCTTCCTGCTCGGTGTTCGCAACCAAACGAAATGTCTTTCTCTGCTTTAACAAAAAAAAAGGAACCGGCTTGACGACAGTCAGATCGATGACTTTGCACCAAAAACCTTCTGCTCGAAAACGACTTCTACTTCAAAAAGCCACAGTGTTTCTGCCCCAACGATCCTCCGCAACTCCGCTGCGCGCTGCGAAACTGTTTCTCCAACTCGCCTCGAATTTCCCGGAGAGGAGGTGCGCGGTGTGGAGGGGCAATATTTAAAAACCAAGGAGGATGAAACACAACAGATAAACAGATCAGAAATACAGTCCGTGCGGCTCCAGATCCGTTCGGTGCGGTTCGGGAGGGAAGCCCGAAGGACTCCAAACCGGCAGCTTCTTCGGCTCCAGCTGAACCTGCAGCCGCCCGAGCGCTTCTGTCCCTCCGCCGCAAACAACACACGCACACGGGCAGGAAAACGAGGAAAAGAGAGAGAGAGAGAGAGAGGAAAACAAACAGAACGTCGCTGCGTAAACGCGCACAGTCTCCGGGTTGAGCGTCACCCCGACGAGCGGCTCCGCAACATCACCGAGAGCGCACAAGAAGCGGCGATGTCGATGTGGAGGAAGCAAACGCGAGACTGCGGCGCTCGGTCTCCTGCGGCCATGCTCTCCCGGACCACCCCCCCCTCCCCCCTCCGACTCCCCACGACGACCCCCTCCTCCCCCTCCTTTCTCTCTTTCTCTCTCCACCTTCCTGCCAGCCGGGGTACGCTGCAAAAGGTGCTGCTGGTCGCTGCTGAATCTTCTGGAGCAAATTATGCAAAACGGAAAAGAATTTCAGTCCTGTTTGTTGGCGCGGACATTTCTTGCAGGGTACAGTTTCACAGTTCTCACTAATTCTCATTGGCTTGGGTTTTGCATGACGGTCGTTTTGTTTACGTCGACATCCCTCCTACATGTGTTTCTCTGCCCCCCCCCCCCCGGCTAGCAGACTGATCCCAGATCGTTTCACAACGTGCTCCTCTTCGACGCGTTGAACTTTCATTTCACTTGGTCTCAATCAATGTAACGTTTGTCCTCAAATGTGATTTCATTTAAATGTCCCAGAACCAAAGTTCGGCTCTTTCCAATAGAATTAAAGACATTTGCTTGAAGGAATTTTGCGGAAAACAATTGCTTTGTCAGTAAATGCAGTGGTGCCTGCCAGAGGAAATGGTTTCCAACTGCTCTCTAGACGGTCCCTTTGACTGCAGTGCCTCAAAACCAGTTAAGCATCTCGGCTGGCACGACTTTTCGTTTGCATTGTTGGGGGGAAACAAACTTTCCATTCTGCACTGAATTACGTCACAAGCCAAACATTATTATGCGTGCAAAATCAAAATGCTTTAATTTCCTCTAGTTTGCCTCTAAATTATAGATTTAAATATGTTTTGTTTTTCTCAGCCACATGTTTGTCTCCCAGACATTCCAGACTGCTTTGCTTCCCTTTCGGGTTGCAGGGCTTGTGGACACACGTAGTTTGGGTCCCTGACTCAGTGCGCCACGTAGTGGCGATCATTGGAAAAGCAACAGGAATCGTCTCTTTGGAAAGAATTCAAGACTGTGCACACACTCAAGAACATTTGAAACATTCTGAAAAACAGTACTTAAGTGGAGTTGGGAGAAGGTCCATTAGTGAGTCGGAGCAGATAGGGACAGACTTCTCTCTAATCCTCTTCATAAGAACAGCAGCACAGGGGGAGCTCATCCGAGGGCCGCTGGGCTCAACTGGAGGGTTGTACAACTTTGCCGAGCCGCTGAACAGTCGCCACCGGCGCTGCTCGGTCCGCGGTTTCTGTTCACAGACAGGCTGATTTATTCCCCCTGAACCAGGCTGGTTCAGGGTTGCTCATTTGTTAAGTCCCCAGTGTGGACATTCATTGCAAAACCTCTGCTCCCATTGCACCGAATTGCATTTCTCCAATAGAAGCAACACAAAAGGAGGAATGGGGAGAAATACTTTTTCAAATCAAAAGGTTTTTTTTTTATTTGACCAAAATGCAATCGATCACCTGCAAAATTAAGTGAAATAGAAAGGGTTGAATCACACATGTATCATATCAAATGTTTTATTGTCTGTAACTGCGCAGAAGAGTGGCTAAGTGGTTCACACTGCTGCCTCGGAGTAAGCTGACTTTAGTTTGTTAGCATCCAACAATTACCTTTTAATAAACAAATGTGGACTCTTCTTTTCTTACATGTGGCTTTTTCCCCATGTCCCTTAATTTGATTAATTCATTCATTTAAAAGGTACATTCATGCAACTGCAATTAACAACTTCAAATTCAACTTTTTGATGCAAGAAACAGCTTTGGTATAAAAAGGATCTCAATCTGGTGGTATCTTTCTCTTTTTAATGAGTTCAATTGTCCACTAGATTGTTAGATGAGATGAGTGCTGCTCATTTGGTGGTATGATATTGTACCTTCAATAAACCAACTGGAGGGCGTTCAGAGAACACATCATGAAAACGTGTTTTAGTATAAGCCTACGGCCATGGGGCGGATTTAAAACAACCCCTTCACTGAATTTTATAATGGTTTATTTAAAACCTTGATCATGCTAATGTTTGTGGAGATACAACCAACCTCCAATTCCAAAGGACATTCAGAGCGTGTCCGGTGCCTCCTCGCGTCTCCGAACGCAGTGAAGGCTGAGCCGGCGGCTAACGGCTAACAGAGCTAAACCTGCAAACAGTGCCAACGAACGCAACAGGACAGAGCTTTGCCTGAGGAGCAGCCGGAGAGGTGAGTTCTACAGTTACGCAAGGAAACCGCCCGGTGCAAAGGATGTTCTCAACTCTCACATGCGCATCCAGCACGGATACGTCAACGAAGCACAGAGGAGCTGAGATACATCCCACAAGAGGGAGGGCGACTCTGCCCTGGTAGACATTATTCCACTATGTCATTGTTGTTCAGTTCATGCAACAGTTGATGCAAAACTGGAGCGGCGTAGAGGATCCACAGTAAACCAGTGAAGATCAGCCTGGAAACTAACCTGACTTGGACCAGGATACTCTGCAGGGGGTCTTTTTCCAGAGTAGACTCCTTTATGAAGCAATTTCCTAAAAATAAGGAGGAATTACTGAAATAAGCCATGGCTTTGCTGCTAATCTTGCTTTATGAAATACACAATTATACATAATCCAAAAGAAACAACTTGGGAAGAAAAAAAAACATGTCCGCCCCGGCAACATGCACCTGCTGTACGACACGAGCTGAGCCAGACTGGGCTCATCATCCCCCTGTTGGCTTTGTTTACAGTAAACCCACCTCACACTGTGTTTGTTTGGGTGCAGCAGTGAGGTTGTGTGTGTGTGTGTGTGCGCACATGCATGCGTGTGTCCTGTAAATGCATAAATTGTGTATACACAAACCTTCAGGTCTGAGAGGGGTTTTGTTTCTCCCATATGTGCACGTGAGCTTGGGTGCACACACACACACTTGTGTGTGTGTATGTGTGTGTGTGCGCGCGCGTCAGGCTGATCATCCACCTCGCCCAGGCAGACTAATCCATGAGCTATAATCACCTCATCTCGCCGGCTAAAGTGCCTGTCCTACTTCATTTACGCCTGATACACGCCTGTGTTCGCCAAGACAATGAAGGCATTATAAATTAGGGTCAGTGGGGCTGCGATCACAGCGGTGCATCCTAATGTTCCTCGTGGCCTTATGAGTGGACTGTCACATGCGCGGTGGAATGAGATCCCCCATGTGAGGAGTACATCACAGGCACAACGGTTCTACCATCACAGATGTGCTCCGAGGCGAACAGAGAGGCGGCGTCCTGCGTTTTTTTTTTTTTTTTCCCCTCTGCGCTTTTGTTTATGAAGGCAATCTGTAATAAAGCAGCGCCATCAAAGTGCCACTGAGTGTTTACGTTGTGACACAGACATTACAGCCTCTCGGTCCTCCTCCATTAGCAGCTGGCAAACACTGTAATCTCGTTTTCAATATTCCTGTTCTTTTGTTCTTTATTTTCTTCACTACCAGTAAATTATTCTGTGAGCACTTGAGTTGTTTATATGTTTTTGCTGATTAATTTGAGTTTTCAAAATAGGGTATTTAGCACTTGGCTGAAAAAGAAAAGACCTGTAATTCGACAAATATCTCTTTCCTCTAAACTGCAGTATTTTTTTCCCCAAACAGGATTGTTGTCTTGTTTTCCTCCCTTGAATGGAATATTTCCGCAGCATCCTCTCAGATTTTTTTGTTAATAGGACCTGTTTTCACTTTGGTTTGTTTGTTTATTCGTTGGCAGGATTACAGAAAACGTACCCGCCCAATTGGGTGTAGCGTGGGCCAAGGGAGAGTCCTTTCAATTTCCGAGCGGATCTGAATTACGGTGCAGAGACAAGCAAGCATTGCACGCATGTTTTTTTTTTTTTTGGTGGAGCCCGTTGGTGCATTTCTAGTTTGGGATTCCTGCGGTGGGATATAAACACACACTGAACGAGGACTTGATGTTACTGCTCATGTGGGATAACTGCCACAGAGCATGTGTCTCATGACATTTACAATACAGTATGTGTTTGCTTTCACTTGGACTTGCTTTTTTGATCTCAGAATGTTACACTGTTTGTTTGTCTTATCAATTTGGGGCCGATTAGATACAAATACTAACTGGACGAAGATTTTTGGAGTCCTGCGCTTTATTTTCTTTCTACGTCCAACGCCCAGGAAACACAAATGTCTGGATTATTCACTGCTTGTTATTATGATGATGAAGTTGCAAACACCAAGCAAAGAAGTATCTTCGCATTATCACCTCTTTCCTCGCTAAAAAAAAAATAAGAGCTGCGTTCATGTGCAATGCATTAACACATTTCATTCTAGAGTTGTAATTTACACTACATTATAATTGATCTATAATTGGAACATTAGTGACAGCCGGTTAATGCTGCATGATTTATGGTCTTATCCTTGCCGAGGCCAGAGCAAGGTCACTAACTGCTCGGTTAAGTTTCCACCAGCCAGAATTGTCGGTGCATATCCGTTGCAAACACCATTTTTGTAAAAAACATCTTGGGAGTGCAGACTGGGCCGCCCTTTCAACTTTCCATTTAAAACAAATTCAATCTTGCTGTGCTTCTTCCCCCCGCAGATGAATGTCTGGTGGTGGTTATGGTCACTTAACATTCTGCGAGCCCTTCTCTGCTAGTTTTAAGAAAAATAAGAACACAAGTCAGCCATTGTTGTTAGAATACCTCGACCTTTTATATCTATCCTTCCACTCTTTCTGTCCATTCAACTTATTCTTACTTTCACCTCTTTTCTTTCTCCCTTCTGCTTATAATGCTATCGACATCCCCTCATGCAAAAGTAAATGTTTATCTCTCCCCCAGGGGAGCGGTTTGTCTCTCCTTCTTCATCGCTCTGCCTAAAACACCAGCGTGAACCTTGCCAGCTGGCCTTTACGTGCAGCCCCGCAGCATCGACGCTACAAAAAGGTTTGGCCCCTGTGAAAAATACACAAATTAAGGTGAAACAGGGGTTGAGAGAGGAGCGATGTGAGGAAGATGCACGATGACAGGCTGACAGAGCCAGAAAGACGTGGGAGGTCCCAGTTATTCCGCTCCGATCTGCACTTCTGGGTCTGTGTGTGGCACCTGGTTGAACTCTTTTTGTA